AAACAGCATTTTGGTGGTTATGTATAACCACATGCATCTCATCCTTTACAACAGTCTTACAATTAAAACATACTACTTCTTGAAGTGCCACTATGGCTTATTGCAGTGCAGGCCTGTTTATACGTGTAGTGGGGCTATACTGCACATGTTTATACTCCACATGGAAACAGAGGCAGGGCTCTACTGCCACAGCGGGAAATATAACTTGAAATGTAAGGTTCAGCTCCAAATCCCTTGAAGTTATATGAGTGGATCACGAAAATTCGCGAAAAGGGTGTGCATATCCTACTCTACCGGTCTCTAAAATTACTATATTATGGCCCAACGTGAATAAATGCCTACAGTGAAAATATTTTTTTACATCATGTATTCATGTAAATACATTTTTGACCTCTGAGGAAACTTCCCGTTGTTGCCTTGTACATGTCATACAGTTATTGGTCCACGTATTTCATAACCACACATGAGAATGGTTAATTTCAGATTAGAAGTGCCTGTCCTTGGACATCAAGTAAGATATAAATATGATGTGGAATATATATTGAAATTAGATGTGCCAATCGGATTCACATGTACTTGCTAAACAATGGAAGTGTAACTGACAATGAAAGTGTTACTGACTACTTCGAGTCTTCCCGGGCCGGTCGGGTAGCCTAGTGGTTAAAGCGTTCGTTCGTCACGCCGAAGACCCGGGTTCGATTCCCGACATGGGTACAATGTGTGAAGCCCATTTGTGGTGTCCCCCACCGTTATATTGCTGGAATATTGCTAAAAGCGGCGTAAAACCATACTCACTCACTCGAGTCTTCCAACATTTAGACTCGAAACACGTTTAGCATGCTAAACACAGTCCTACACATGTTAAACCCCTAACCATTTAGGATTTGGGATCTAAACACATTTTTACTGTGATCATACAGAGTTGTAACTTTATATCTAATCGGAGCTGTTGAGGAAAAAACACACAGAAGAAACTGACCGGCCCCTTGTAAATTAGCAGCAAGCTACTGCTAAACCGTTGGTCAGATTATGTGTTCTGATGACATCGTGTTTATTGACCAAATTCTACACGAGGAGGAAGACGAGCAAAACTGAGAGGAGGCAACGGACACCCATGGCGAATCATAGGGAGAAGAAAATATCATATGTTCGTGGGTATGTGCACTGTCAACTGATACGATCTTATCACACTGCATTTATTGAGAAACTGATAAAGGATGCCAGCTCTCTCGCCACAACACATGACTGTTGTGCGCTAATACCCCCTCAGTGTCGGAAGATGTCATACCATGCGTCGTGACACTTTCCGCAGAGCCCAGGTTGATAGTATTCACCTGAAAATAGTCAGCTGGAAGCAATTGACAAATTGTTGACTTGTCACTGTATGTTATCTCAATGAAATGTATCACTTCACAAACATAGAGTGTGGTGAGAATACAATTCGTGTCCAATCCGCCCTTAACTTTTCTCACGTGGTACCTTAGAATCAAGTTTACCTTTAAATGTATTTACTATGAAGAAAATAATATAATCTAATATAATAATTTAGATGACTATAAAAAGTCGGTCTTTTTATCTTAAGGTTTTTCGAAGAGAACATGTGTTTACGAGCACATGCACTCTTGGAAAAAATGCCCAAAATGTTTGAGTTCAAGATTCATGATTAGTTTAGTATAGCACCGGCAGCATATAAATACAGCGGTTGTATTCTCAACTGAAGGCATTTGTTTTAAGCGTGTCTACAACCGCATAGTAAAGGGACAGTGAGATAATATTCCAAGATATGAAAGGATTTGCTGTAATGAAATATCAATGTTCCATTTTACATTGATTTGTTCCAAATACAGTACGTTACGAGTAGGATGTGTACCAAACATTCATGTTATTCATTCAACACTGTATAAATGTAATTAATCTATCTCTTCACCTCATGTAAAGGTAGTTAAAAGGAACGCTATGTACATGTATCATGCCAAAAGCTCAGAATATAACCATAACAGATTGTTCTGAACACAACGTTTTAATTGTTCAGTGTTGGACCAACTATATACTGTAAAGTTGGGCCGAAGGCCTACTTTCTTATGAAATAAAATACATACAGTAAACTACGGTTATAACGAACTCAAAGGGACTACTAATTTTACAAAGAACAAAGAAAGAAGGATTAACGTATGATAGATGCTTACACACCGCGTAATTTTGTTGTTAGCAATTATGGTCCTTGTAACTGGGTGCAGGGAAAAAAATGGCCCCATGCCCCAGGCAATTTGGAGGAAATGGCCTTAAACTGTAGAGAAAGTGGCCACAATTTGGGGAGAAAATGACCCCATATTATCTAGGGCTATTTACTCTATAACCCCTGATACCTCATAGACAGAAGACGTGTTGAATCAACACCGCCTGTCGACCACGCAGTCTATGATCAGTTAATTACTCGAACCAGAAAATGCGACAGCAATTGTTTGCTTGATATATTTTATTTCTCCAATCTCAATGGGGTCTTTTGTCAATTTGAATGTAGTTGTTTATTTCTAATAAAATTATATATTTTCAGAGGCACTTTTCAGGATGAACAGACGTGTGTAGCTTGAACTAACCGTAATGCAATATGATGCCTACCGGGGCACTTGGCCAATGAGCTATTGCGAAAACAGTTCAACAAATTCATGTCAGGGGCCACCCTATCCCCCTTATTATACCGCATGAAGGATGACAAATCTAGTGACCAGCAGGTGACGGGTTTACCCAGCAGGTCAGTTTCATCTGACACTTTCAGCGAGGACCACATGCGTTTTAGCTGATCACTACACTATTATTTGAAGATGGAATACGAGTAAGTTAATTCAACTTTAGATTGTTTTATTATAAACATATTTTATTGCGGAAAATGAAATGGATTAGGAACAAGTGACACACTTATGAGGCCTTCTCAAACATACATTTCATTATATTGTAATATTTGAATAATAATAGTGCATAATAAATGTACAGTAGATAGGAATTATATACAAGTAGTACGAAAATACAACACACACACACACACACACACACACACACACACACACACACACACACACACATATATATATATGAGATATATTTATTTGTATACAATGGTATAAGAAATTTAATATAATTCCACAGTAGTTAAACTAATAGACATTTAAATCTAAGTGAATTCAAATGGAGGGCGGGATATATAAACTATAACTAAGCTGTGATAATTACGTTTAATGATTGTTTTACATCAAAATCAAAGTTATAACGAATATCAAAACAAATAGATAAAAATAAAATATAAAATATTACTAAGAATGTTTGTAGATTTCTAACTTCAATGATGAAATGTAACGAATTAAACTGTTCCTCTGATCATAGTAAACACCATTTCCTAATGCTGGCAATGATCAACATCAATTTGATGAATATACACCGTATAATCGTTCCTGCATCGCTGATCATACGAATGAAAATCATTCATATCAAATATGAAAAATATTTTTTGCAGGTTCGAATATACCAAGGAGTTTGAGAACAACGAAAGTGTCGCGCTTGCCAAAGCCAGCTTTTGTAATGTTACAGGATACAGCTTCAAGAAAACTACAACTAAGAAGCACTTCAACAAAAACTGTGAGTAGAGAAGTTTTTATTATGTGAGTATCAGTTAGTTTCGCGATTACAACACAGTTGGTCTCTGAATAATAATATCTAAAGAAGACATTTAGCATTTTTTCATGTTCTAGGCATATGTTCGTCTCTTATTCATTCACAGGTATAATGAACATACGATCTTATAACTTTGGTTAAAATAATTCCTTTATCACTGCCCATACAGATATCCCGACGGCGACAGATAAACCGCGGATTCTGCTGAATGGCAGGAATCAAAGTCTGAAGCCAAAAGATGATTCCCTGTATATCGTTGTATCATCGCAGAATTTGGATTGTAAATACGGAAAAGGGCGCAAAGAACAGAATAAGGTAATAACCATATCTCTGTAAATCAAAGGTGTGCATAAAATGGTGCAACGGATGGGCGTAATAGCTTACCTGCGCGACTTAACATACTTTCGACTAATAAAAACTACATAAAATGAATAAATGTAGTTTCGTTGTCGTAATATCATACTCAACCAGCCTGATAGAACACAGACTACTGATTCATATGAAAAGGTGATACTGCAATCCACATGCTGGATTGTAAAGAATAACAAAGTCGGTTCATGAATATTAACATATTTTCGACTAATAAAAACTACATAAAATGAATAAATGTAGTTTCGTTGTCGTAATATCATACTTAACCAGCCTGATAGAACACAGACTACTTTCCATATGAAAAGGTGATCCTGCAATCCACATGCTGGATTGTAAAGAATAACAAAGTCGGTTCATGAATATTTCAGGTGCATATATTTTTACACTAGGTCCTGAAAAATGATTTGTATCCGAACCTAGAAACGATTGGATAGCATTCGATTCAGGTATCTCGTCCCACAAACGTATGGACAGTTATAGTCATATGTTATCAATTAGAGAATAATAAAATCATGAGCGACTTATGATATGACAGAATCGTCAAAATGTTATATATATTTGGAGAAAAATACAACAGGGGATTCGGATGAAACAAAATAAAAGCAGTTGGTTACGGCGGTGTTGTTTGTACTGTAAAGGTAACACTTTCCAGCTGATACAGTAAACAGCAAAATGCTTATTATAACATTGAATAAAAGCTAGAAAATCATCTCAATACATTTTAGAAAATTCTACTAACATCTGCCAAATCATGATATGAGGTGTTCGCGAAAAGGTGAGCACAACGCCCTACCTGTGGCATCCGTCACAGACATAATTATGCAAAGGCAAGTCATTTGTTTACATCGAAAATCACGGGAACAAATGGCACAAGTCAAAATAGTGAATCGTATTAGAATACCACTTCTAACATATATATCATCATTTTTTTAATGTCTTTATTATATACAGGCCGAAAAAGGTGACAGAAGGAAAAGACGGAAATACGCAGCTGGTATAAATAAAGCATTGGGCGAGGGAAGGCTGACCGAATATCAGTTTGAACAACGCTTTATTGTTTCATTTCCGAGACCTGAAGACCATTTAGAACACCCCACTGCCAAGGTATAGTAAAATGTAATTTTATGTTATGTTATCCACACATAATTAGAAACTCAGGTATCACTGACAGGATACGAATGTAAGCTATCGAAAAGGTACTGTATCTTTGTTAGGCAATGTCTTTTCTAATCTAAATATACTCTTACGCATATTTATGTTTTGTTTTGATAATAATGTTTGTCCTGAAGTTTGGCAGCACTGTTACAACCCTGAAAGTTAAAATTACTCTTAATGTAAATACAATTACGTTAAGGGCTACGTGTTAACTCTTAGTGTTACATTAAGGGTTATTATCGTACAATACCTAATTGTGAAAGGTTCTTATTAACAAAGTTTGATTTGAAATTTAGGGTACTTTTTGCTATTTTCAAATTTCTCATTGTTTTGCTTGGTTTCTTGTAATTATTCGTAATAAGCGACAGCTTGAGAAACTGACTTTGCTCAGACCTGAGAACAAGAGGGGCTGTTATGAAAATGGCAGGTTTGTTATTTAGGACACGCCATCTACTACTCTGGAAGTCGAAGAGCATCAAGTGTCGGCTCCAGTCGCAGATCGCGACTCAAGTGGAACAGCGTCAGCTGTGGATCAGAAGCGGGTGCTGCGGTCAAGGTCGAAGGTAAACTCAGCCCCGGGGAAATAAAAGGGTGCATGCTTAGTCCCTTTTTGTTTCAGTTTTTTTTATAAACTGATTGGTTGAAGTTTAGAAATTGTCCGATTTCTTATATATTGAAATTTCCCACGCAATTGGGATCCATGATATGCATCAACCAAGTCAGCGAGCCTGACCACCCGATCCCGTTAGTTGCCTTTTACGACAAGCATAATCGCCTTTTACGACAAGCAATGATATGCACTCTGACGTAAACACGTTTACATTTTAAACATGCTTAAGTAAGAAACATCTTTACATTTTGGGGATGTTGTGTTCAGGTGGTGTTTATGCTGTTGGACGATAGCGCATTCTGTGTGATTAGAACCCAGAGCAAATGTTATTCCGTTTAGGATGTATACACGTTTCTAAGCATATTTAGATCTAACCATGGCTTGTATGTGTTTACGGTCTAAACACAGATTTGTTGTGTACAAAGGATGGCTATGTTTCTGTTACAACAAAATATTCCAGGAAGAACCACCAGCTGAACACCAGTATGCCAGGAAAAGAACCAGGGAGCGACTGTTCACGACACAAAAACTGGACTGTGGCGCAAAAGTGCATGTCAGAGAGACGCTGTGCTTTCCATATGAAAAGGTGATCCTGCAATCCACATGCTGGATTGTAAAGAATAACAAAGTCGGTTCATGAATATTTCAGGTGCATATATTTTTACACTAGGTCCTGAAAAATGATTTGTATCCGAACCTAGAAACGATTGGATAGCATTCGATTCAGGTATCTCGTCCCACAAACGTATGTCATATGTTATCAATTAGAGAATAATAAAATCATGAGCGACTTATGATATGACAGAATCGTCAAAATGTTATATATATTTGGAGAAAAATACAACAGGGGATTCGGATGAAACAAAATAAAAGCAGTTGGTTACGGCGGTGTTGTTTGTACTGTAAAGGTAACACTTTCCAGCTGATACAGTAAACAGCAAAATGCTTATTATAACATTGAATAAAAGCTAGAAAATCATCTCAATACATTTTAGAAAATTCTACTAAAATTGTTACTTCATTGTTTTTGCTTGGTTTCTTGCAATTATTCGTAATAAGCGACAGCGTGAGAAACTGACTTTGCTCAGATCTGAGAACAAGAGAGGCTATTATAAGAATGGCAGGTTTGTTATTTAGGACACGCCATCTACTACTCTGGAAGTCGAAGAGCATCAAGTGTCGGCTCCAGTCGCAGATCGCGACTCAAGTGGAACAGCGTCAGCTGTGGATCAGAAGCGGGTGCTGCGGTCAAGGTCAAAGGTCAATTCAGCCTCAGGGAAATAACAGGGTGTATGCTTAGTCCCTTTTTGTTTCATTTTTTTATAAACTGATTGGTTGAAATTTAGAAATTGTCCGATTTCATTCAAATTTCGTATATTGACATGTTATGAGACTCCGTATTTTTACCGTGTCCATGGAAAGGAGGTCTCTGATTGCTCCTTTAAATACTCTACCCTATTTCGTATAATCTTCAAAAAACGGAGGTTGCGATTATGTCGTCCAATATGATTGCAGAGGGACGTTTGGATACTCATGTTAACATTATCATCCATCTGCGGTATTTAATTCTCGATAGGAAAGTTCTAAAGATGTCCGAAAGGCTTATGTGACGTATTGCCATCCGTCTTCGTATGGCGTGCGTCATCCGCCATGCGAAATCTATTCACAATCCAATAAGATTTATTCATAAAATATGTCGAAAGATAGCATTTACAGCTCACTTGGTACGAAGTTCCTCGGTGAAAATTATGTCAGCTCCCTCAGACGATCGAATGGTCGGTACCTAACTGACTTGAAATACTCTACAGATCATATTTTATAAAGCCATCTAGACAAAGTAACGATCAATTAAATCTGCGAAGTTTCATGAATGTTCGATAAGTATTATTTCATAGTGATAACCCTTAATGTAAAAATAGTATCTGTCACTTCAACCCATAATGTAAAACTTTTTACATTAAGAGTTGTAACAAGGGTGAACCCACAGCCCTTAATGTAAAATATTTAATTTACATTAAGGGTTGCAACACGGTACGATTTAATCTATACAATAAAAGAATCAGATACTGATCCTCATGATCCGTTAGGTTATCGTGGAATTTCTTTGTTATCAATACCTTTCAAAATTTACGCTGATATCTTAAATACACGCTTTTTCTAAATGGCTAGAATCTTATCATTTATTAGCAGAGGAACAAAACGGCTTTCGGCGTAAGAGAAGCACAACGGATCATATTTACACCCTCTCTATCAAAAAATGAAATTCGTGAATCACCAAACGTGTGTGTTATATCAATGCAATGAAAGCTTACGATTAAGTGAATCGCGATTCTCTTTGCTACAAGCTATTCAAATTGGGAGTAAACGGGGAGGTCTTTTGGGGGTTAAATCATTATATGAAAATAATCGCTCGCAGGTATTTAAATTGTGAAATGGCAAATTGACAGACAGTTTCGCTGTACTTACTGCTGTGAAACAGGACTGCGTTTTGTCGCCGACACTATTTTCGGTTTTCATTAATGACTTGGTACAAGAGGTAATGTGGTGTAGATACTTTTAACACCATGATAAGTCTTTTACTGTATGCCGATGATGTTGCTCTATTAGTACCGGATGAAATGTCACTCCAGTTGATGTTAAACTGTGTTGCCAGCTGGTGTAAGAAATGGCGATCAAAAGTAAAAAACAAAGATTTTTCATTACCGTAATCCCTCCTCTGTTCTTATGAAGAAAGTAGGCTCACTAAATTAGTACAAAGGTGGCCATTTTAATTCCCAAAGTCTTGGGACTGCACAGTTATAAACATGTTTAATGTTTTATAGTTACCGCTTTCATGACTCTATAGATCATGTTTTACCCTTTTGTTTTGAATACGTATAGCATTAATCTGCATTGATAAGGAAACATGGCTCAGAAAACTCTGGGGGCAAATTAATGGTAATAAGTTACGGACAAACTGACTGTTTAAGTCTACACTGATAGTTTCACACTATGTTTGTAATATTACTCTGACAGAACATAACCTAGCATTTTGCAAAATTTGGATGTGATACACACATTTAAGATCTTAGGCACCTACAGACCGAATGAAATGTCTAATACAGTGCGAGGATGTGTCAACCCCTGTAGCCGCACTGATTAACAGTATGTTTAAACGTAGACTCTATAATAAATAATGTTCACTATTGCTTTTTGTGTAGTTAGGACTCCCTGTATTTGTATTATTTTAGCACTGTAAGTGGTTTTATTATTACATTGACCATTTGACGGTAACTGGTGTCTAACTGGCCCTAGCTGACCGGGTGTCGTATCAGAGCGTGAAACGTTTTTATGATTGTTTTAATGTATAAACGCTAGATGATTGTTTTAATGTATAAACGCTAGACACCTGAATAAAATATTTTTCTCTCTTTCTCTCATTCTACTCATGTTAGTCGCTGTCATGTATTATAAATGTTGTTACTAGTAATCCTTCACCTACCATATATGCACCATGTTCATTAGACAGTGTTGCTTGACAACGGTATAAGAATCTATACCGAAAGGTCGTTTTTACAGTATAATAAAGAGATTGTATCCATGCATAAAACATTTTTTTCTCTACTTTTTCACCCGTCAACTTCTAAGAAATGCGTATCAAACATGAAACATTTCTTTTGCGATGTGCGATCGTTGTACCTTTAAGTTTGTTAATGTCCTTAAAAGTAACCTTCATTTTTTGCATGGTTATTTTATATCAACGTTCAGCAGTCCGCAGTATTTATGTAGGTACACACATTCAACATTAGCTTTCCATATTTCTCTGTATGAAGAATTGTTTTGTCCCATTCACGTCTAAGTAAGGTTACAGCATACTTATGCACATGAAACCTATAAGCGATTGCAGGTAGTTTGGGCCCCCCCTTACAACTCTTCATTTTTGGATGTTTCGCGATCGACCGTTTATTATAGACAATAATAATTTGCAAGAGAGCGGTGGCACAAACAGGGTTGACAAAATTGTGATAAACAAAGTACATGGAATCGTGGGAAACTGGTGAAACGCGACCCAGAAAACTTAGAGCAAGGGTAGAGGAATTTATGAAGGAGTTTATGCCGTCAGAACCAAATTCAACGAATCGGCAGTTCAGTCCAACCAAGGATTTATACGACCTCATTCACACAGCTGAACGAAACAACAGTTTATGTCGTTAACTGCTGCGTAAACATTAATGTAAATATGACTGCACAGGTTTCTAGATTGGTATATGAGAAGTTGACTGATGATTTACTCAATGTGGTTTGATATCAAAGAGAAATTGTTCACCAATATTTAATTTTAACAGTACATTGGAGACAGTTGTAGAAAATGACCAACAGTTGTATGAGTACCATTTGTTCATCTCGCCATAGTGTTTTATAATTAAACCATATTTTTTCAATACTACTATATGAATCACATAACCTCTACTTTACTAAATGAATGACGATTCAACAAACATGCACGTTCGCTCAACAAATGTTTCAATTAAAATTCATGTGCTGTTTTGCATTTTAAACAAATAAGGATTAAAACTGTTTATAATACATGGAACTTGTGATGTCAGCGATAAACAATATTCACCACTCACTCGTTTATTCATATGGGGCAGTTGTGGTGAGGTAGCAGACTGGTTGAAGCGTTGGCTTGTCACGCAAAAGCCCGCCTCGGTTGTGAGGCTTCCTCACATCTGATTTATGCCAATGTAGGGTGTCACTTCATGCTAGAATAATGATCACTTACTCCTGTGCATTTCCCCAGGAGTGCTCCCATCCTTGTTTAGTAATAAAACTGTCAGCATCTTATCAGCAGTCACGAGCTCATGGTCATCAGACATGCCGATGTCCACTCCCCATGGCACAAGTCTCTTACTATAAACAAACAGCCGCAAGGTGCTGATTAGCCCTGCTCCACGTCTGTACTGAATGATACATCCATGGATGTATAGTCATTCTATCTTTATGACAGTGAAGATAAGCTAACAGTACACCGATCTTTTATTGGGACAACTGGTTCCATTCATTCCTATAATCTAAGAATTATTCCCCATGAATGGAATAATCTTTTTGAGTGAGTGAATTGGGTTTAAGGCTGCTTTAGGTATAACAGTATTCGAGTTATATCACAGTGTGTCAGCTTAATGTGGGAGGAAAGCCCGAAGTGATGGAGGTCTCAGACGTTTACCACTTCAGTGAAATCCAGATCACGGGTATGGTGCTGACAAACCTAGAAACATAATCAGGGTGAACCGGACTCGAACCCACAATCATAGGTTTATGGCGTGCCCAAGGGAGGCAACGCAGCACAGCGAATCGCGGCGCCTTAGACGACTGGGCCACTTGTGCCCCCAATATTCGTTATGTTAAAATTGAAGACACACAAAATATATACAGTGATGTCACATGTGACCCACATATGCTAACATGGATAGATGCACCTTTTTTTAATACATTTGAATTTGAAAAAGATTTAACAGTAAACATTATGATTCATCCATCCGTTTTTACTTGTAATGCCAAGCATCTATGTTCACTTTCAGCTAAATCATATTGATAACGACCTTTTGAGAATAATATTAGCTTCCTGATACTATAACCGCAACCAATAATTCCATACACTGACTAACTTGCATTGAACAACGACCTGATTCAATGTGAGTGAGTGAGTGAGTATGGTTTTACGCCGCTTTTAGCAATATTCCAGCAATATCACGGCGGGGGACACCAGAAATGGGTTTCACACATTGTACCCATGTCGGGATTCGAACCCGGGTCTTCGGCGTGACGAGCGAACGCTTTAACCACTAGGCTACCCGACCGCCCCCCTGATTCAATGAAGAATTTTAGTAGAGCAACTATTATAGATCAGTGCTGCAAGCATATTTCTTTCTTCACTGTGTTTGGTATATTGAAGTTTGTTTATCTAAACATTTGTTGTTTCATCCCTTAAAAAATCGAGTCTAGACCAGACAATCCAGTGACTGACATCATGAGCATCGATTCAGGGAATTGGGATACAATGACATGCAGCCTTTGTTAAATTGACATTTGTAAAGATATTTGTGTATAAAGGTATCTTGCCATTTTAGCAACACCTTGGGTACCACCTTCTTACTTGTCAACACAGAGGCAAAGGACAATGCTTGAAAAGTATGGCAGTGCTGTTTTACTGGATGCAACATACAACACTAATAAGTACAACCTATCTCTGTATTAACTGGCAGTACAGACAGATTTGGTTAAGTTCCCAAATATGTGGGCTACAGACCTAACAATCTGTACCCCTGATCTCGCCCAAAGCACTTTGTGGGAAGTGCATGAGGAGCCACTCGGCAGCGGCCACTTTCCAATCCACAGAACCATAGGAAACATAAATATCCAAACCCTAAATGAACCCCAAGAACCAAAATTTAATTACAAGGCACACTCAGTGCTCAATTCAAAGCACTATGCAAACCGATCAACCCTTCAGATCTCG